AATCTCAAAAGAAAAACATTAAATTTGTTAATTTAAGTATTTCATGCTATATTTGCCTTTTATATTTTAACTAGATGCCCGGTGCATGAAAATTTATGCACTGGGGGGGGGGGGGGGAGGCCCTCAGCCTGGGCTGCCCCCTCTCACAGTCCGGGAGCCCTCAGGGGTGGGAGGCGACCCGGCGATCAGGGGAAGGCGATGCCCTCATCACACCTCTGCTGCTGCCACTGCTGGCAGTGCAAGCCTTGGCCGGCCCTGGTTACCTGAGCCTTGGGTGGCCCTGGGCATCTGGGCAGCCACCATCCAAGGCTTGCCTGCACCTCGGGCTGGCCCTGGCCAGCTGGGCAGCTGACAGCCGAGGCTTGCCTGCACCTTGGGCTGGCCCTGGGCAGCTGGGCAGCTGGGCAGCCGACAGCTGAGGCTTGTCTGTGCCTCGGGCTGGCCCTGGGCGGCTGGGGGGCTGAGGGGCTGAGGGGACTGGGCGCCACCATCTTTGAGGGTGTGGCAGTCAATTAGCATATTCCCTCCTTATTAGCTATGGGCACTGTCATCTTTGAGGGCATGGTAGTCAATTAGCATATTCCCTCTTTATTAGATAGGAAGATATTTTCCTCAACTTTACTTTTATAAACAAAGATCTCAAATTCTAATAAAATGTACACTATTCTTGAGATTAAATACTTAATCCTGCTGAGTTAGCAAGAAACTAACATCATCTTGAACTCTGTTTTGAATGATCTATAGAAAACAGTGAAAGCCTGATTTCTGAGCTAATCCAACGTGTGAAAACTTAATGTTACTAAAACAGACCATATGTCACATGTGACTCCAAATACAAAGGGGAAGGTGAGAAGTGAGGGAATAACAATGACAAGATGTAAGATATCTGCATAGCAAGAACGGCATAAAGGTGGAAAAGAAACCAAAACCTAAATTCTTTGATAAGGCAATTAAGTGGAGTCCAAACCAAAATCATGTGTTGTTAAATTACTGAAAAATTTATTCGGTAAGAAAACTGTTGAGCCCTGGATGGTTTGGCAAGTGATTAGAGCGTTGGCCTGTGGACTGAAGGTTCTGTCCTGGGTTTGATTCCTGTCAAGGGGATGTATTTCAGTTGCAGGCTCGATTCCTACCCTGGTCGGTGGGGGCTCGTGCAGGAGCAACCAATAGATGTATCTCTCTCACATCTATGTTTCTCTCTTTCTCTCCCCCTACCTTCTAATCTCTTTAGTAAAATCAATGGGAAAAAAATCCTTGGATGAAGATTAACAAAAAAATAAAACTGTTGAGTAGAAACTTCCAAATTTTTCAAATTAAATGCAACTGAAATGCCTGGGATGCTTTGGAGCAAACAGACCCTTACATAAACACATTTTCAATTTGGTTATTTAGTCCTTATACATACAATTTTTCAAGACAATGAGCACTGCCAATATAAACAAGATAATTAAATTCCCTGATCTTTTGATAACCACTGATATTTTCATTCTAGGCAGCCAAATTTAAACTGTACAAATTTTATACATATCTATGAGTTATGTTACCCTAGAAGAGAGGGCTGCCGAAATCTAGGAGCAGAGCAAGCAGGGGAAGCAGAGTAACTAGCAAGATAGTGGATAGGCCTAAAGGGACTACCCAGATTGTTGAGCTGGCTTCAGCCCTAAAAGAGATTACTGTCTAAGGGGATCCATTCCTACCTGATATTGATAGCTAAAAAAAAGGTTCCTGTGCAAAGTCATCAATAGTGATCCCCAGAAAAATTATCTATACTAATAAAAGGGTAATATTCTAATTAGAGCGGATGTCTTCTGGACGTCCTTCTAGACAAAGCCGCAGTGGCTGCCTGAGTCTCAGGCAGGCTGCGGATGGCGTCTGCTGCTGCAAGGGCTGGCCCAAGACTCAGGCAGGCCGCGGATGGCGGCTGCCACTGTGAGGGCCCGAGGCTCAGGCAACGAGGGCTTGGCCGAGGCTCAGGCAAGCCGTGGTGGCTGTGAGGGCCGAGGCTCAGGCAGCCGCAGCGGCTGGCAGTTGCAGCAGCAGAGGCATGATGGGGGTATCGCCTTCCCCTGATCGGCCGGTTGCCTCCCGCAGAGGGAGGCCAGACTGCTGCTTAGGCCCACTCCCCGTGGAGCAGGGGTCCTCAAACTTTTTAAACAGGGGGCCAGTTCACTGTCCCTCAGACCACTGGAGGGCCGGACTATAGTTTAAAAAAAAAGTATGAACAAATTTCTATGCACACTGCACATATCTTATTTTGAAATAAAAAAACAAAACGGGAACAAATACAACATTTGTATTTGCATGTGGCCCGCGGGCCGTAGTTGGAGGAGCCCTGCCATGGAGAGTGGGCCTAAGCTGTCAGTAGGACATCCCCTGAGGGTTCCCGGACTGTGAGAGGGGTCAGGCCGGGCTGAGGGACCCCCCACCCCCACAGTGCACAAATTTTCGTGCACCAGGCCTCTAGTGTAATAAGATTTTTCCTGGTTCAGCATTTACAGAGGCTCATTTAGGTAAAGGAAGGAAAAGAAGGAGCTTAAGAAATACCAGTACCTAGAACTATTGAGTCATTTTCCCAAGAAAAGAAAGCCTGGACAGAGGGTAAGACCCCGGTTACATGAACTGAAGCTCCAAACAGACTTCCAGACATAGTGGAAAGGAATAAAGGGCACTTGAGGATACAAGAATGAAAAAGTCCTAAGGACGGAGCAAAGTGGCAAAAGTTTGAGAAGACAAGTGAAGAAAGGCATATTTCAAATTTGCAGATGCAAAATAAGCAAGATTAATTATGGTCACTAGTTACAGATGATAATGAGTATATACTATATTGCCAAACTTTCCTAGAGTGGTTTTGGAACTTGGCCAACCTGACAACTGAAAACTCTTTAGAATTTGTACTTTGTAATTGGATGTGTATTGGTGGAGGGGGGCATTTGAGGCATTCAGGAATTGACAATATCAATTTTTTAATCATGTAAAAAGTCCCAAATGATATCTATCATTTTGTTGTTTACCCAAGGCTATTTTTCCCATTGATTTTTAAAGAGAGTGGAAGGGAGAGAGAGACACAGAACTTGAAAAACATTGATGTGAGAGAGACACATCCATTGGTTGCCTCCCACATGCACCCCAAATGGGGCTGGGGAACGAGTCTGCAACCGAATTATGTGCCCTTGACTGGAATTGAACCCAAGACCCTTCAGTCTACAGGCCAATGCAACAACCACTGAGCCAAACCAACTAGGTTGATATCTATAAATTTTTAAACATTAATTCATGTTATCAAAGCCATTTATTAAATAAAACTTTAGCATTAAGTTTTATCTTTTTTAAACAACAAAAATGCAAAAAGTTCCTAATTAGTCATTTAATTGTTTTATGTCTCAATATTCTAATCTGTAAAATGGTAATAATAATAGATTTTACCTCAGGGTTATGTAATGAGGATAAAATTAAAATATGTAAAACATTTAGAATACTGTGTAATTCATAATAGGCACTCAATAAATATTAACCATTAATTATATTTATTAGAAAAAAACATTTTCTACTCAAAGTCTATAAAACTTTGAGAGCAAATATTTTTAAGGCATAGTCTAGAATACTAGAAACTCTCATTTTACCTATTTTTCAGCAAAAAAAAATAAAGAAAATGTAGTTTGCATTTATTGAGAACCTTTAATATTAGCTAAAACATATGAAAATGCCATTTTTATAGGAAAAAAGCTCAATAACAAGTATATAAGATTAACTTTTAACAATTATTGTTAGAAAAATTAAATACATTTGACTGAGATGCACCTAAAACAATTTTTAAAAATGGAACCTCAGCATGCAATTAAGCTTCCAAAAATAATTTTAAAATAATAAAAATATTGCCATGATGGCCCTGGCAGGGTAACTTAGTTAGTTAGAACATTATCCTGATAAGCCAAGGTTACGGGTTCAATTCCCGGTCATGGCACATACAAGAATCAACCAATGAATTCATAAATAAATGGGAAGATAAATCGATGTTTCTCTTTCTCTCTGTGTCTCTATCTCTCCCTCTCTAAAATCAATCATTAAAAAGAAAATATTGCCACCATAAGCATCTTTTCTCGTATGTGTTCTATAGATTGAGCATTTGTGTCCCCCTAAAAACCATAGGTTGACATCTAATCCCCAATGGATGGTGTTTGGGGTTGGAGCCTTTGGGTGGTGAGTAGGTCATGAGTGCAGAGCCTTCATGAATTGGATTAGTGCTTTTGTAAAAGAGGCCTGAGAGAACTCCCTTGCCTCTCCTATCATGTGATGTTATAGTGACAAGATGACTATCAGTGAAGAAATGAGCCTCACTAGACATGGGATCTGCTGGTGCCTTGATCTTGGTTTTTCCAGACTCCAGAACTAAATAAATGTTTGTTCTTTATAAGCTACTCAGTTTATGGTGTTTTGTTACAGAAGCCTGAATGGATTAAGATACGGGATATGGAAGAACCCCATTATACTATTAAAAAGAAAGTAAATATCTTCTTGGTAAAACATTAACTTTTTAACCAATAGGATTAAACTTTTCTACGTCAGTTCTCTACATGGAATCCTATGTGAAAAAGCTACTGCAGCTCTGAAAAAAAATTTTTTAGCAACTCCCTTTGATTCAAAGAGAGTCCAAACTACTTTCAATCATAAAATACATTCCAATAAAGTATAAAGTTTCTAACATTAAAACATTCATTTCCTTTTTACAGAGGTGAATAAATATGTTTAAGGATATGTGGATTCCCTGAAAGAGAAAATTAAAAATCCTGGTTCTCAGATCTGAGAAATATACCATAAATCATTCAAATGTAGTCAGGAAACCTCAAATGACTAGAGCTTTTACTGACAGGAGTTTTTTGGGCTGGAGTGAAGGGCAAAGGCACGTATGGACACAGGTACTGATTTTTTCATATATTCATTGTATATTTATAACCTAACCAAGGTAACAAAGAACACAGAATGGAGAAAAAATAACAACTCACCATGTTTTCCCCTAGAAATATCCACATATTGGCACAGTCTTGGATGGATGATGGTCTTAAGGATTTGAAAGCGCCCTAAAATTTTGATGGAATTTGGTGTGAGAGGAAGCCCGTTGCTTCCACAAACATCATGTGGTAGAGCAGAGGCAAAGAAGGTAAAGGCACCCATTTCGACATCCTTCAAGGGAAACATCTCCGAGTCCTAGATCTTCCAAGATAATCTGGAAAAGGAAAGAATTTTTTGACAGATCAACCAAATATTAAACCAGTGTTTTCTTACTTTAAATATGATTAACTATTTATATGCATAATATGCAAATCGACCGACGGTGGAACAACCAGTCAGCTATGATGCACACTGACCACCAGGGGGCAGACGCTTAACACAGGAGCTGCCCCCAGCCTGCAAGCCCTGATCACCCGATCGGGCCCTGCCAGCCAACCTCTCAGTCCCTCCCCCTGGCCAGCAGTCTCCGATCGCCTGATGGGGAACTGGGAACTGGGTGGCGGTGGGCTCGGGCGGTGGGGCTGGCTGCCGGCAGCTGGGGAAAATCAGCCCTGATCGCAGGCCAGGCCTAGAGACCCTACCCATGCATGAATTTCGTGGGCCAGGTCTCAAGTAAATATATAACTTGGAGAAAATGTTAATCTAAATACTTCAAAGTAAAAAGATGTCAAGTTTAAAAATTCCAAGATAATATCAAAGAAGAAAAACTACCAATCAGAAATTTACACTGCAGTTCTAAATCTAAGTCAAACACTTTCAATAGCATTCAAAGAAAAAGATAGAACATTTCCTCTTCAATGATGCTTGGCAGTTTTGAGTTTAGAGGTAGTTCATTACTGCATATTAATTTCAATAAGGCTCTTCTCTTTACCTAAAGCTTGAATAACCCTAGACTACCAAGAATTTTTCCTTTTTATAGATGAGGCAAGTCACGAAATAGGAAATAGAGATACCAACCAGACACTTTAAAGAATCAAGGACTCTTAATAGTAGTAAAAATTCAACTAGATAACAGAAGGCACTATGTTACTTAAATGACTAATCAGTTTTCATTTTTGTGCTAGGTGTTTTACATGTGATTTGTTTTAGTCCCCTTAAGAATCTTGACAAATGTTATTGCCACCAGGTTTGAGATAAATGTTTCATGTGTAGATCCAGAGGGTTCTTATTAGCATGGACTCAAAAACATATGGTGCCTCAGAGTTGTGCAATAGAGCAGCCTGGAGATTAAGAAACTTGCTCCAAAATCAATCTGACTTACATTAAGGAAACCATAACAAAAAAGGTCCTGAATAAAATTTCCCTCCTGCCCAGGTGTATCATTAAAAAGACATTCTATTGATCAAGCACTGCAATCTTCCCTTCTCAGTTTTCACAATAAAAATCTGGAATTCTAAATTAAGGTAATAGGCTACTTCTCATATATATGTCTGCCCAGAAACCTCATCAAAAGAATTAAAATGTTTTAAAATATATAAACTCATAACAAGAAAGAGAACAGAAAAGAGCCACAAGCTGATGAAAGATTTCAAGAAAATACTGTAAAGCATTTTGCATATGGAAAAGTACTATCACAAGAAACAGAAAGGTGGAAGTTACAACCTATAACACAGTCAAGAAGTTTTCCCAGCCCCTTAAGATCAGAGGCTTCAGATTCAGACAAAATAGATCTCCTCTTAATTTTGGAACTTATAGGACCCCAGTTAAGATCTGACTGTCTACTCAACCATCCAAAAACAGAGTATGTTAATCAATAATCCTGTCCATATGTGTAAAGCTCCTAGACAGCTTTCTTTTTTTTTTATATATATTTTATTGATTTTTTACAGAGAGGAAGGGAGAGAGATAGAGAGTTAGAAACATCGATGAGAGAGAAACATCGACCAGCTGCCTCCTGCACATCTCCTATTGGGGATGTGCCCGCCAGTTAAGATCTGACTGTCTACTCAACCATCCAAAAACAGAGTATGTTAATCAATAATCCTGTCCATATGTGTAAAGCTCCTAGACAGCTTTCTTTAATTCTTAAATAATGAACTGTCCAGGAATCACTAGATAGCTAAGGAAAAACTATAGAACAAAAGGAAAAGAATAAAATAAACCAAGAAAAATAATCTGCTCTAGAGGCAACGAAAATAACTTCTGTAAATAAAAAAAATCCAGCCCTAGCCAGTTTGGCTCAGTGGATAGAGCGTTGGCCTGAGGACTGAAGGGTCCCAGGTTTGATTCTGGCTAGGGACACATGCCCGGGTTGCAGGCTCAATCCCAAGTGGGGGGCGTGCAGGAGGCAGCTGATCAATGATTCTCTCTCTCATCATTGATGTTTCTATCTCTCTCTCCCTCTCCCTTTCTCTCTGAAATCAATAAAAATATATTTTTAAAAAATTCAAAATTCAACTCTAATATATTTAGGAAGATTTGAGAAGATATTGCACTCATTACATAAAACAGGAGGTATGGGAAATATATTTTTTAAAAATCTGATATATATAAAAGGCTAATATGCTAAGTGTCCGACCATCCGACCAATTGCTATGACACACACTGACCACCAGGGGGCAGACACTCAACACAGGAGCTGCTGTGACATGCACTGGCTATTTACAGAGAAACAGCACTGCAGACCTGACACCCACAAAGCAACATTAGGCTTCCCCCAAGTGGAAAACAGGCCCCACCACCACCCCGGAGTGAGATCCCACCAAATCGCAGCCGACGCTGCTGAGACAACATGGCACAAAATGCGGTCCACAGTCCAGCCCAGTCCAGCCCGGAAACTGTAGCTGTGGGCACCGGGTAATAACGTCACGTAGGAATGCCCTGTTTCCTCTCCCTAGTGACTAGCCTCTTTGGAGTTTCTTCAGCCCAGAAACCTGACTTGCTTTATAGCCAGGTGCAGTTCAACCAAATGTTTGTCAAGCATTTTCCCATGCCTCATCTCATTTGATCCTCGCAGAAGTCCTGGAGTAAGTAGATAGGAGACTCAATGGAATCCTATTTTCTTTTCATTCACTGGAAAACAGAGATTTAGAAAGCTAAGAAACTTGACCCAACTGAAAAAAAGTAAGAAATGGCTGACCTTGAAAATGACTTCAAGTTTTCTCACTGCGCAGAATATAGTGAAACAATGCTGCAGTTAAATATTTTACCCTTTGTTTTCCCTGTGTGATCTACAATAATAATCTGCTTCATGTTGATATTTACTGTGTTGCTGACAATTACCTGAAAGAGACGTTGGGGTGCTTCACTGGGCTGGAAAAAGTTTAGCTAAATCAGAAAGCAGTTCTAATTAAGCAAGTTTATTCTATATAAATAAAAGGCTAAGTTGACTCACACATGCGTGATACATATAAAGCTCTTGCTGGCGCCAATCGCATGCGTGTGTTTCAATCTGTCATTGTTGATTGTGAATTTGGTTGACACTTCTATTATAGAGAAAGTGCAAATAGCAATATTAAAATATTTCTTCCAATTAATTTCCTTTCAATGTGCATGAATTCATGCACTGGACCACTAATACATATTAGGAGGATATGAAGAAACTGAATGGAAATTGGTAGAATCACTATGGACCACAATTTGACACTATTTAATATATATAAATTTCATCTGATAATAAAAAGCAAAAAAGTAAACAAAGAAAATTGAGAAAATATGAGAAAAGAATAATTAAATGAGTGCTTGATGTGATTACCAAATTACATGTGCTTAGAATATAGAGTAAAAAGGCAAATAGATAAAAGCATACAAGAAGATAATAGACATGTGAATCAAGCAAAGAATTACCTTAATGAGTTTCAAAACAAAGAACAGAGAAAAACTAAGGAGAATAAAAGTAAAACAGAATAGGGGAAAATTCCCCATAGATGAAGGGAAACATAAACCTTAAAATGAAAAAGTCTTACAATTTCAAGGAGGATAAGTGAAAAAAGACTAACCTGAGACATTTATTCTAGCACCTTTGAATAAGTTCATTGCAAGGAGAATAAATTCACACCAAGATATATCATAATAGCTCGGCTGGTGTGGTTCAGTGGTTGAGTATCGACCTATGAACCAGAAAGTAATGATTCCATTTCCTGTCAGGACATATACCTGGGTTGCAGGCTCGATCCCCAGTACAGGGTGTGCAGGAAGCAGTGGATCAATGATTCTTTCTCATCATTGATGTTTCTATCTCTCTCTCCCTCATCCTTCCTCTCTAAAATTAATCCTATATAATAAAAGGAAAACATGCAAATTAACCGTCCTTCTGCTACACTCAAGCCACGCCCACCAGCCAATCAGGAAAGAGTATGCAAATTAACCCAAGATGGTTGCAGCCATGGAGCTGGAGTGAGCAGGAGGCTTGGGTTGCCCCCGGTGATGGAGGAAGCCAAGCTTCCCACCTGCCCTGGCTGGCGCTGGGATAAGCTCAAGGCTACAAAGTTTAAATTATAGAAGATAAATAAATAAATCCCAGATACCTGCTTACAGCCGGCTATGGCCTCTGCTCAAGGTGGGGCTGGGAGCCTGGGTTGCCAGGGACCTGGCCTCCTCTCAAGGCTACAAAGTTTCAATTATAGAAGATAAATAAATCCCAGAAAAAGAAAAAATAAGAAAAAAAGGAGAGGCTGGGAGCTTGGGTCATGAGGGGGGGGGGCGTGGCCAGCCTGAAAAGAGCCCTCAGCCCCTCACCCAGGCTGGCCAGGCTCCCCAGCGGGACTTCCACCCTGATCCACGACACCCTTCAGGGAAAACCAGCTGGCCCCCACTAGGCCTCTATCCTATATAATAAAAGGGTAATAGGAAAATTGACCCTAACAGCAGAATGACTGGGAATGACTGGTCACTATGACACACACTGACCATTAGGGGGCAGACGCTCAATGCAGGAGCTGCCCTCTGGTGGTCAGTGCGCTCCCACAGGGGGAGCTCTCTCAGCCACAAGCCAGGCTGACGACTGCCAGCACAGCGGTGGTGGCGGGAGCCTCTCCCGCCTCCTCAGCAGCGCTAAGGATGTCTGACTGCAGCTTAGGCCTGCTCCCTGCTGGTAAGTGGACATCCCCCGAGGGCTCCCAGGCTGCCAGAGGAATGTCTGACTGCCAGCTTAGGCCCGATCCCCTGGGAAGCGGGCCTAAGACAGCAGGTGGACATCCCCTGAGGGGTCCCAGACTGCGAGAGGGCACAGGTCGGGCTGAGGGACCCCCCCCCCCTCCCGAGTGCACAAATTTTTGTGCACCGGGCCTCTAGTAAAAATATATTTAAGAAAGATATATCATAACACATTTTCAAAAAATGAGGCATAACTAAAAAAATTTAATAATTTCTGAGAGCAAACAAATAATTCTGGCACCAACAAATTAAGATCAGACTGACATTTTCATCTTCTCATGAGCAATGCTGGAGGTTAGAAGATGGTGAATTCTTGGAAGATTTGGTTTCTATACCCAGCAAAACTATCAACCATAACAGCAACATGATAATATACACCTATGCAAACAAATAAAAAATAAAACTACCACCCACTAAAAAATAAAATTACCACCCACATATCTTAGTTTCTTTAGAGGAGAAAAGCAAATAATAGAAGATGTTGGGTTAAAAATCATTGCAACTTACTCAAGAGTTCAATGAATGTAACCCAGGAAAGAAGCTGCACAAAAGGACTAGAATAGAATCTATTCAAATTAAACAGAAAGTGATTGGAATCCAAGGGAAACATCTTCAAGCATAGAAATGAAATGGAAGCTTCTCATACAAAGAATGAGAATACGTGGTGAAGAAAGTACAACATGGAAGGACTAGGTGACGAAAGCATATGTACCTCTTCCTCAAAATAAATCAGAAAGTCCTTTGTGAAAGCGTGGAGAGGTTAAAAACATTGTAAGAAGCACATGGTCCAAAAAATAAAGCACAGTAAAATATGATAATTTTTTTGTCATTGTAGAGGAAGTAAAAAAAGAATCAATTTGATGTTAATATTACAAATCTGACAACCTGTAAGTAAAGGTGCAGCTAAGAGAAGGTAGGAGCAGATTTGGTTTCTGAAGTGGTAAAGGATAAACTAGAGTCACTACTTTTCTTATTTTACCAAATAAGGAGCCAACATATATTTTTGAAATTTGATGTGAAAAAAATTGAGTTTACATTTATTTAGAACTAATCAATATGAAAACTAAATATTGTAATAACTATTTGTAGAAGAGACGTTTGTGGATTATGTGGACTATTTTAAGTCAATTCAAAAAAAGAATTAGTAGTTGAACTAATTATGCAACATGCAAACCTAAAATTAGGTGAGGTTGAAAGTGGTTATCCCTGAAGAATAGAACTGAGGGGAGAAAGGGAGACACTAAACGATTGCATTTTATTATGCAGTCCTTCTATAATATTTGATTACAATTAGATGCCTCTATCCCTTAGACACCTAAAAATCAAATAACCAAATGAAGAAAATGCAAATTATTCAGAAACACACATTATTTAGCACAAAACATGTCATCGGTGTTTTGCTTTAAATGCCCCTTAGGCTCATGCATAAAAAATACACAGATTTTCTCACTTGGTGAATGGAAGAATGCTAGTGTAGGGGAGAAACAGCTGAGGTGAGAGATCAGTTGAGGAATAACAACAATGTAAGCAGTTAGGTTTGAAAATTCATTCAGTCACCCATGTCTTGGAGACCCTAGACAACTTGTTAGGTGTTTTTCCGGCTGCCAAGCTAATTATAGCGAACAAGACACAATCTGTGCCCTCAAAGAATCTGGAGTTGAAATGACTCAAGTTGGGGAACAAAGGGAAAACATGTGCAAAAGATGATAAAACAGTTTTCACATTTCTTCAACGGGCGAATGGAACTAGTTCATTTATTTTACATACTTCCCCTCAAAAAGTCGTTTTTCTGTCCCAAACAAAAACAGGGACATCGGGTCCTTGTAAAAGCATATAGTTAGAATTCGAAAGTAGCTCCCACCTGTTCACTTTTTCCACTCCACAAGGAAATTACATCTCATTGATTACATTGAGAAAATTACATTAACTAAACCAGTGGTTCTCAACCTTCTGGCCCTTTAAATACAGTTCCTCATGTTGTGACCCAACCATGATATTATTTTCGTTGCTACTTCATAACTATAATGTTGCTACTGTTATGAATCGTAATGTGAATATCTGATATGCAAGATGGTCTTAGGCGACCCCTGTGAAAGGGTCGTTCGACCGCCAAAGGGGTCGCGACCCACAGGTTGAGAACCGCTGGACTCACTAAACCTTTGCCAACCAGAAACAAACCAAAGCAATTGTTCCCATCTGTGATGAGCAACAAGGCCATTTCCACCTTCTCCAACCCCCTCTTTAGTCTTCCTCTGAAGCAGTGATTCCTTCCAGAGGACTCGGGTAAACGTGTGCAGGGATGGGGACCACGCAGAGAAAGCAGCCCGCAGCCTGGTTGGTCGGCCTCTCCCTGAGATAGGCGGGGCCCCTCGCTGCACCTGCCAGGCTCTACAGCCCCACCCACGACGACCAATACCAGTGGGAAACCCCAATACCTGCCTCAGAGTCTGGGGGCGCAGGCGGACACAGAGACAAGGGGAAGGAGCTTCTACACAGGGCCCCGGGGCTGTCTCTCTGGCGGGGGTCGCCGCTACTGCTTAGGGCACCGGGGCCTGCATGTCAGGTGCGGCTGCAAAAGGGGCCGCCCCGGGAGCGCCCGCAGCTCGCACGGTCCGGAGCCTGCGTGCCCAGCCGGCGGAGGTGCCCGGCTCCGAACCCGGGAGAGGCGCGAGCCCGCCCTCACGCTGACAGCTCCCCCGTCTCCCCACACCCTCCTCTTGGCCCGGGCGTTTCCTCTGACCTCACGGCCCCCGCGCCGCGCCGCGCCATGGACGAAAGACCCCGACGCCCGGCGTCTTGCCCGTTGCCCAACGGAGCGAGAAAACGTCGCGACCGAGGAAGAGGGCCAGGGGGGTGGCGTTCCTGCGTGGCATACCGGAAGCGTGGCGTGGCTGCACACAAGGTTGGGGGGGGCGGGGGGAAACCACGGTTTGCAAGGTGAGTCCATGGGGCGCTCAGGCGTTTCGGTGGGACACCTCGTTGGGTCCTTTCTCGCCGCCGTCGCCTGCGGGAGGCTCCCAGCTCCCAGCTCCCGGCGGAGGCTGACCGGGTTCCCGGGGCGCTGATTCATGTGAGTGACGTCTGCGGGGGTCTGGGGTGGGCAGGTTGTGATCGTGGGGTCTCCCCTTCCCTAACCAGCCCTCGGGAGGTGAGAGCTGGCCTGCGGGTACCAGTGGGAAGCCCGCTCTCACACGCACCCATCTGGGCGGGTGGAAGTAGGGAAGAGCCGGGGGCGTTTTGAAGGAGCCAAGTTTGAGAAATGGGACGCGGGGGTCGAGGAAGCGATGGTTTCGTATATTCACAACATGTTTATTTTAGTGCGCGCTTGTGTGTGTCAAAGGACTGTGATGGTGACGTGGGCGGGGGGAGGGCGCGGGGGGCAGGAATTCATTCATTTATTGAGCCCACTATGTTCCAGGCACTGGGAACAGAGCAATGAACAAAACAGACCAAAATTCATGCCTCCCCGGCTTAACATTCTATCGAGGAGGACAAGGGCTAGACAAAGTTACGAAAAACACACCATATTTTAGGTTATGATGATCGCTAAAGAGCAAAATAAAGCCGAGAAGGAAGATAAAGATTGAAATTTTAGTGTGGCCAGGGAAGGTCTCACTGAAAAAGTGACTATCCTACAGCAGAAGAGCGGACAGAGGTGAGAGGATTAACAATACAGAAATCTTGGCGACGTGCAGTCAGGCAGAGCGACCGGCCATTGCTAACGCAGTGAAGCAGAAACTCGCCTGAACAGCAAACATCTTGTGGGTCAGAGTTGAGTGAAGTTGTTAAAGCTGGAGACAAAAGTCAGGGAAAGCAGGAGCAGGTCCTTGAAGGATCTTGAGGGCATCTAAGCCGTGGGCAGGTTTGGAGTGCTAGAATCTGACTTCATTTTTATTTCATTTTTTAAGTATTTTTATTGATTTCAGAGAGGGAGAGGAAGAGAAAGATAGAAACATCAATGATGAGAGAGAATCACTGACAGGCTGCCTCCTGCACGCCCCCAACTGGGGATCGAGACCGCAATCCGGGCCTGTGCTCTTGACTGGACTCAAACTGGGGACCCTTCAGTCCTCAGGCTGAAGCTCTATCCACTGAGCCAAACCAGCTAGGGCCTGACTTCATTTTTAAAAAGATCTCACTGGCTGCTATCATCAGATAGACTGAAGCGGGGGCAGGATGGAGGAAAGATCGTTAGGAGGCCTTTGCAGCAATCCAGAGCAGACATGATGGTGGCTTGAGGCGGGCTGGTAAGAAATAGCCAATCATATTCTTAGTGTTTGTATTGCTTTCAGAGAGGAAACGGGGAGGGAGAGAAAGATAGAAACATCAATGATGAGAGAATCATTGTCAGCTGCCTCTTGTTCACTCCCTGCTGGGCATCCAGCCCAAAACCCAGGCATATATATCCTGACCTGTAAATGAACCATGACCTGGTTCATAAGTCCATGCTCAACCCCAAGCCACACTTGCTGGGCATATTCTTAGTGTTTTTAATTTTGGTATGTAAGAGTATTAATGAGTGGTGAGTTAATTTTTTTTAATTAGACTTGGGAAAGACTTTTTAAAAATGAATTGTAGTGTGTCACAGAGTGGCAGTCTGAAGGCAGTGTTGGTCTGACCCCTCTCAGGACCCCAGGGTAGGCCCCACCCCAGCCTCTCCTGTATAACTTCCTACCTAACAGTTCTATTCCAGGTCAGGGCACATACCCAGGTTGTGATTCCTTCCCTGCTGACCCTGGGGCAGCCATTGATGTGTCTCCCTTCCTCCATTTCCCTTTCTCCCTCTGGAATCCATGAAAAACATATTCTCGAATGTGGATTTTAAAAATAATAATAATAAAAGAGGTCTTTCAATAAATGATACAGATCTGACTAAGTGATAAGAAAACCTTGAGTTATCAGCAGTGGCCTTTTTTGTTTACATAAAATAATAGGGCATCGTGTTATTGGAGCCATTTTGCAATTGACAGTATCTTAGATTTGATGAAATGTGGTAAAGTATCTGAGATTATAAGTGTTTACCTAATTGTAATTCTGAAACAGTGGAATCGGATGTTTTTGGGAAGCAGAGAGACAATTTTAAATACCTTTAGAGATCCTATACTATAAGGTAAAATTTAAAATCTGAACTTAAAACTTCCATTTCAAAACAATAGCTTACTTGTTTATATTTAGTTCCTAACATAGAGAGCCTGAGGCAGGGGATTATTTAAAAGAAATGACTGGCAATTTAGAATCAGAGTGGGGAAGACTACTGAGGAGATTGCTGAGGTAAAGGGAAGTCATTCAGAAACGATAAGAATTTCAGGAATAATCTTTTATATGTGTGTTTTAATGATTAGGATGCAGGCTAAATTCATATATTTGGTAAAATCAGCTTCAACTTTTACGAAGTTTTTATTAGAACATCTTACCACAGCTTCTTAGGTTTGATAAAATGTGATTGTTATGATTGGGGTTCCCAGCTGGGACCTCAGTTTTTCTCTTCTATGCAGAAAAGATTTAAGGTCAATGAAAATGAAAGTAAAACAAAGTGGGATTTATTGAAGATACACTGCAATTGAGAGAGATAATGGCAAAAAGATGTTATCAGGGACAGGGGGAGATGAGGAGACCTGGGTTCTTGTCTTCTTGAGAAAAAATTTCAATCAAGAGACAAAGTGTAGAAAAGCAAGCATTTATTGAACACAGCAAAAATATACTTAGGAGAGTGAAACAAGGAAGGGCATAGGAGAAGCAACAGGATAGCCGAGGCCGGGCTGCTTTGGCTCTCTAGGGAGTCAGACAATAGGGGCCTTGGAGACAGGATCAGGGTGTACAGCAGAATGAACTGCTGCTGCCCACTGCTCCCCTGGTTGCACGTCTCTGGGGGCCCCTTAGAAGTAAGGGGATACTTTCCAGGCTTGCGGGGGGGGAGCAAGGTGAGGAGAAGGGAAAGGGAATCGCATGGGGATGCTCTCTGGTGGGCCTTTAATTTTCTGGGGCTTTAAAGGCTGGGCATTTAGGGGAGATCTTAGGGGCAGATCAATAGAATATTCATCAACTTTATGCTGATGTATCAAAATGAGATTTATTCTCAATCTGTCTGTCCTTTTTCTCTCCCTAAATGTTTTGTATTTGTAATTACTGTGCATGTAAATAAAGATACCTATTTTAATCTCATAATCTTTTTCTTTTATTTTAGCATAGACTAAGCCAGCATTCCCAAACAGTTGTAGAGAATACTGATTTGAATAAATATTAATGTATGTTCTTAGGTAAGGATTCCATGGTTAAATCCATTGAGAAATGATTCACAATTATATCCTTTAGGGAAACTATAGTTTGGGCATTAAAAGAAGTAACTCCAGAATCAGACAGACCTAAGTTTCAATTCTCATTTACTAACTAGCCACATGACCGGGGGCAAATTAATTTTAATTAAAGCTTTCTTTCCGTATAATGGAGATAATTACAGTATTTGTAGGTGGTCTATGAAAACACTTAGCCAGCTCATAATAAATACTCCACAAATGTTACCTGTTATTATTATTATTAACATTATCACCTGTGAGAAAGCCTTGCATATTAGCATATTAAAAGCCACAAGGAGCCCTAGCCAGTTTGACTCAGTAGATAGAATGTTGGCCTGTGCACTGAAGGGTCCTGGGTTCAATTCCATTCAAAGCCATGTACCTCGTTGCAGGCTCAATCCCAGGCCCCGGTTAGGGCTTGCACAGGAGACAACCAATCTAGGTGTCTCTTATATCCATGTTTCTCAAGAACATGTTTAAATTTTCTGTCTACTATAAACTGAGCACATAGCTCAAAATCAGGGACTATAAGTAAAATTAAGGTTTTGAACTTTATTTTTAGTGATTTGGCAGGTAACATAATTTGAACTTTATTTTTAGTGATTTGGCAGGTAACATAAATGGAAGACTCCTTTCAGTTACAGACATTGTTAACCCTGGAATACAAAGGTTCCTTTCAGTTACAGACATTGTTAACCCTGGAATACAAAGGCAACCCTGATTGATCTGTGTGGTGATAGTTGTAATCCCAACAGGCCAGTGATCAGGAACAAAGTCTGAAGAACATAAAGTACAGGTCAAAGAGGAGCCCTGAGCCAAAACCGGCTTGGCTCAGTGGATAGAGCGTCGGCCTGCGGACTGAAAGGTCCCAGGTTCGATTCCGGTCAAGGGCATGTACCTTGGTTGCGGGCACATCCCCAGTAGGAGATGTGCAGGAGGTGGCTGATCGATGTTCCTCTCTCATCGATGTTTCTAACTCTCTATCCCTCTCCCTTCCTCTCTGTAAAAAATCAATAAAATATATTTAAAAAACAAAAACAAACAAACAAAAAAAAAACAAAGAGGAGCCCTGAAATAGATGCCAAGGAAGTAGGTGAAATCAGGTGATAAGTATCCTTAATTTTCTAAGTTAAGAAAATGAAGGGCAAAAAAAATAAGGGAAGCATAGATACATAAATTTTTCAAAAAAAAAATCAATGGATAAAATATCCTCAAGTAAAGCTTAACAAAAATAAATAGATACATACATACATTCTTCTATATAATAAAAGCCTAATATGCAAATTGTCCCCTCCACCGGGAGTTCGGCTGCTCGCTATGACGTGCGCTGACCACCAGAGGGTAGCGCGGAACATGGCGGGTGTCAGTGATGTGGCGCTAATAGCAGGCGGCAGTGGAGGCGCTG